AGAGTCTCTTATATAATCTTCTCTATTTTGGTCTGCAGAAACGGCTAGAAAATTACAGTCTTTGGAAAGCACTTTAAGATGTTGAACGTATTGACCTATATTTTCACCAGTTTGTTGTTTTTTTGTCATTAGGATATGTCTGGCAAAAATTTCATTTTTGGGTTTAACAAAAGCTGCTTCAAGAATACTTTTGGCTTCAGAATACTTTCTACAATCAGAGATGAGTTCATAGATATTGTTGCTCACGTAATTTACCAGTAGTTTGAATTTCTCCTCCTCTGAAACATCAATCACAGAGGAAATAAAGTTTTCAAAGGTAGCTTTCCAATGCATCCATTCTTGAGACGATCTAGGAGAGTTAGGATCAGCATCGAATCTATCTGGTCGTAGTAGCTTATCCATATTTGATATTTCTTGTATATTAAATTGTAATGAAATGCAAAACCTTTATAAACTAGGTTTTAATATACAAGAAATTAGCATTGTTTTGTTTGAATGAATAACATGACAATTACATATGACATTAACTAAAACTAAGATGACAAATGACAAACACAGTTCACAGACCACAGGACAACGTCAAATCTCATGAGCGTAAGGTCAGTTAGTTCGTGTTAAAACTAATTTGAATGGAGAGTAATGCATTTGTTGCCCGTTGGCAACTGAGTAAAGATAGTCTCGCGTAAGAAGTGTAGAAATGTAAGTGATATGCCCATTTCAAATCGCAGTGTGCTTAAACTGCTAAAACAGCCTTAACTTCTAGAGCTCTAAGAAGTCTAGCGTTCGAGTTCGCTGAAATAAATAAATTAGAACATCGTTTTGATAGAGCTTTAAAAATGGCAGGCAAAAGCAGGCTACGTGGGTTTTCGAAATGACACAAAGATGTTAGTTTGACCCACCACTACTAGCGTCGCCAGGGCTATTGGGTTTAATGAACCAGTGTAAGCGGTTTTATGAAAATCTCTCGAAGATAATGAATACATATAAATTCCCGCCACGTGCAATTTACAATATGGATGAATCGGGATTTTCCACTGTCCCAAACAGGCCTCCTAAAGTTTTCTCTACAAAAGGAGAAAGGTGTGTCAATAAAATATCTAGCGCATAACGGTGAACCAATGTTATTGTTGTATTCACAATGAGTGCTAGTGGACAATATATTCCTCCTGCATTTATATATCCACGAAAAGAATGAAGACAGAACTTTTGGATGGAGCTATACCATCATCAGTTGGAATGGTATCCAACAGTAGTTTCATCAATCAGGACCTGTTTGTTGATTATGCTACACATTTTAGAGATCACGCTAAGCCGACAAAGGAAAAACCAGTCCTATTGGTAATGGATAATCACACTTCCCATTATTCCATTACAGCAATTGATTTTTTTTCGACGATATAACATTATCGCATTAACACTTCCTCCTCGTAGTAGTCACCGTATGCAGCCACTTGACAGATTTTTTTAGTCCACTAAAAACGTTTTATTCCAATTAATATGAATAATGGCTGACGAACCATCCAGGGCGGATAATTACGGTTTACCAAATTGCTTCAATATTTGCTCCTTCATACTTTAAAGCTGCTACTATAACGAAGCAATTGAAGGTTTTAAAGTATCCCTTTAATAATGACATATTTACTGAAGCGTTTAACGTACAATCAGGAGTTGCTAAAAAATCTACGTCTGAAATCTATAATAAAACCACATAAAATGTCTGAATCAGCCTCTGAAAATAATCCCAATGTTCTTGACAGTCCAACTATTGTTCTTGAGAATTCCACTACTAAGGAAAATATTCATGTTAATGAAAGAGATGCCATAATCAGCGAAATACCTACATCTGAATCCGATTGTACGAGAAGGATTTTACCGATCAAAAACAATATCCCTCAGCTTTCAGATCTGGTTTCCAACACATCTGCAATAACTTTCGAATAAAAAGTTGATATAGCTCCAGAAACATTTGATTTATCAAACACTCCTGGAACATCATCAAGTTATATTAAATTACCAACCATTTCTCCGTTATCTAAATCAATTGTGGTTAGATACAGAAATCGCAGAAGGAAAAAAGTCGGAAATAATCACCAGCTCTCCATATAAAGACCAACTAATTGAAGAAAATGAGAAAAAAAGCCGCAATACAAACTTAAACTGGATGTTGGCGATAACCTAACAACACCGCAAACGCTTCTGGGAGGGAGTTTAAAAAGGAAATCAGATGTGAACCTCAGACCGGCAGAGAGGATACAAAAAAATGAAAAAGCTGTTTTCACAAAGCCAAAAACAACGCCTCATAAGAAAATTTGGAGCTGTCCAGGGTGCAGCGAAACATTTAAAGAACCTATCACAGAAGACTGGAGTAAGGCAAGGTTGTATACTGTCTCCAATGCTGTTCAATTCATACGTAGAAAAAGCCTTCGCAGAAGCAGTGGCAGACTCTAATAAGAGTCTTAAAGTTAACGGCATATTTATTAATAACATCAGGTATGCCGATGATACAGCCATAGTGACAGATAACATCGAAGATCTTCAATTCCTTTTAAATGATCTAAATCTTGCAAGTGAAGCTCGGGGTTTGAAAATAAATATCAAGAAGACAAAAACAATGATTATAAGTAGAAATGATTACCCCAACGCAAAGATATATGTCTCTGGAGAAGAAATCGAACAGGTCAGGCAATTTAAATACTTGGGTTGTTTGCTGAACGAGGGTTGGGACCCCGAGAATGAAATAAAGAGCAGAGTTGAACAAGCCAGAAATTCTTTTTTGAGGCTTCGTAAGTTTCTGACTGATCGCAAATTGGACTTTAACCTCCGATACAAGATGCTTAAGTGTTACGTGTGGCCTGTTCTCTTGTACGGTATGGAAGTATGGACGTTAAAGGCCAGTTCCATTAACAAACTTGAAGTGTTTGAAATGTGGTGCCTGCGTCGAATGATTAGAATATCATGGACGGACAGGTTCAGAAATGAGGAAGTACACAGAAGAGTGGGCTTACAGGATAGGGAACTTTTTAGTTATGTAAAAAGTAAGAAGACTGCATACTTGGAGCACATATTACGAGGAGAAAGATACACTTTTCAGCAACTGATACTCGAAGGGAAGATAGAGGGTAGGAGAGGTCTGGGACGTAAAAAATGTCATGGCTGCGCAATATTCGACAATGGACAGGAATCCACAGCTATGAAATGCTTCGCAATGCTGCTAAAAACAAAATTATTTAATTAACATCTCACCTGACAAGACGGTGGACGCCTACGCAGAAATACACGGCACCTTAAGAAGAAGAAGAAGGCTTAAATAAAAATAAATAAACTTTCAACGCAATTGGTTTGAGGTTTGGTTTTTACACTTGATTAAACCTTAAGTGCGCATTCTTAGCACTCACTGCCCTTATTAAAAAAAAAGTTTTAAACGTTTTAGATCATTTGTTATGTGAAAGTTTTTGTGTGAAATCTGCCGTTTTTAAGCATATTTTAAATGCCTCACATTTTTTACAAAAACTCAAAACTAAAGTTCATGCTATAAGTTTGGACGGTTCAGCTCTGGTAATTGAAACTTTATAGTTTCCAGTCAATGAAAGGGATATATTGTATCGATCTCATGAGAATAATAAAAAGTTGCACATCGCGCCACGTTTATTCATTTAACACCTTTATAATATCTGAATTTATTTGTGGCAAAATACAAAAATTGCATACGAAAGCTGAACTCTTTATCTTTGAAACGTATCTTCATTTTTGTCGATAGGATACTTGAATCAAAAGATATCGACTTTTGACTGTCGAGCTGATATAAATTTTATTGAATATTGATTTCGCGTGCGTAACTGACATTCCAAATCGACGGTCACTTCAAGCGTTGTATGTGAGAGAACGGTTCATTCCATCCAAAAAGTGATAATAAACATTTTTGTTTAAAATTATCTAGCCTACATTTTTTATTTGAGAATTTTTTTTCTACGACGTATGGATTTTTGATAAGTCGATTTTTCCGTTTTCCCCTAGGAGGTGTTTTAGGGGAAAACCAAGGTGTAAAAGGATGAACTTTTTTGCATGTGTTTTGGGGTCCCAAAATTGACATTATCAGCAAAATTCTGCTTGTTCGTATGATTTTTAGAGGTTCAGTGGTTTTTTGGTCTCCCATAGTGACGACTAGGAAATAAAAAATTCCTTTTTTTGGTTAATTTAATTGTTTTCAAAAAATTTGATTATTAAAAAAAATAAGGATCATTAATATGTCGATGACAAGAAAGTATATTAGATATTTTCTATAATCATCTGATATTTGTAGGAATAGACCTATACATCACTTGTTGATAGCTGTTTTTATTGTATTTTCTAAATTTATATTGTATCTATATCAGAATTTAGGATGAAGGTAGTATTTAAAAGAGTATGGATACAATAATATTGGAAGTTTAAAAATATGAAATAACCAAGGAATTGACAAAACACCTGGCCGTCTCTGACAGCCGTACCCGTACATCAAAAGGTCACACATGCATCTATTTTTTTATGACCAGAAATATTTTTATATCCTACTATGACCTTGATCAACTAATTACATAAGATAATAATTCTTTCCGAATATTGTACTAAACAAAAATTCACCTGTAAAACATCTTTTATTTTTTAATCATAGGGTACACGGCCAGACGAACGCATTAGTAAATAGCGCAATAGAAAGTGGAAGTGAGATAGATACGTCTAAAGAGTTTTGTTTTTGATTGGCTTAGAAGTTTACAAATGCAAACAACGCCGTCTAAAGATGAAAGATACAATTTTGAACTCGTTCGAGTGAAAGAGATAACATGGTAGCTGCGGTTGATTGTATCGTGTGCCAAATGAATAAATGCAAAACGTAAAAAGCATCGACGGACGTCGTTCATCGACTGTTGTAATAAAAGAAAGAGAAAAGGGATTATAATTGTCGGTGAGTTTTGCGTTAGTGTATAAGCTCAACACAAGGCCACGCCATATTGAAACGAATCAGTTGTCTGTTAATTTTGGCCCGGGGTGAATTGGTGTCTATCGCGCTTTTCAATTTTTCGTGTTTTGATAAAAATAATATTTTTCAAATTTCTTTGATAATGACCCTACCATAATGTGACATCGATTCTAATGCAGATTTTGGGAAAACTTTTTATATTTTCGTAACAGGTAGAAAGATGATTTTTTATTCAGAAAAGTGTATATACATGCAGGAAGATAATCGATTTGTCAACGCGAGTTTAGATTACAATTTCGGTGCACTAATTGACCTAAGGTGCGTTCAACCATCACTTCATAAATGTACCATGTTTGGTGTCGTTGGAAGCGGCTTTTTCTGATTTAAATTGTGGTTAAATTTGTTTTGATGTGTGACTTTTAAGTGGAAAGCAAATTGTAAACAATTAAAATAGTGGATTATATCACGTTAATAATTGAAGAAAAACTCGATGACTTGGAACCTACCTACTGTATTTCATAAAGGTTTCTTTTGGGAATGGGGTTATCGTACATGCCGATTATCAACATCTTTTGATAATAATAATTAGCAACAGTAGTAGGGGGCATGAATTTGACTGAATAGCCTAGCATTCACACAATTATTTTTTCGTTTGATTGACTGCTAATCTACATAAATACTGTGATTTCAGATGCGTGGACTCTATTTTTATAATAATAATTTGAATAATTCGTGCAAAAGGTGATAGTTCCTTTTTAGACTTTTATTGGAAACATGGATGTCGATGAAACTGTTGTAGATTTGAGTATTAGGTGGGTATTTTTTAGAAAATAAGAAATGTAATATAAATAATTATAAACTGACTTTGTTGTTTGTCTATATTATTGTTGTATAACTGGAACGAAGCATAGCACCATTTATTTTAAGTAAATAGTTTTCAGCAAGAGGCTTCACAAGTAATTAGACATAATAATAAGTTTGTTTATTTCAACTTCAACCAAAGGAAAATAAGTGAAACTGGACAACTAGATTTATAATATTTTTGTTTCTTTTTGATTGACATATTTGTGTCTATAGTTTATAGACAGACACACAAAGAGATTAGTAGAAGGGGTTATGTGACATTTGTTTACATTTTGTGATATTGTTTAAATTAACATCCCCAGGAAGAAGATTGCCATCAGCAAATTATTAAAGGTATATATTAAACTATTTTTAGTTATTAAACTTATGAAAGACATCTACAGACATAATTTTGAAACTAAATGTTTTACTATTAATAATATAACTTGCATCTTCTCCTTGCCTTTTTAATTGTGGCTGATATTTTAACACTTTTTTTGTCTGTAATTCAGTTTATTTGAAGTGCATCCTGTGTTCTACAAGGCAACAATTCTTTTCTTTAACATTTAAAGTTAAACACAATGTCAGTATGTAAAGGTGTTTATTTATGTGCTAATCAAAATATTGTTATACAATTTTCAATAGTTGGCCTAAATATATTGCATAGAAGACATACTTAAATAACTTCAATCAATAATTATCAATTGAACAAAACTAATATCTAAGTAAATATGCTGCTAAATATAAATATAATGCTCTTGGATTTATCTACAGGTTTTTATATTGAACAAATCACATTGATTTTCTTGTTCACTCAATTTTTTACTTTACGGATCTATCCAGCCAGTGACCCATAATTTATTTTCTAATTTTTGGGCCTTCATGTCTGAATTTATGTAATCAAACATTTATTTTGTATTTTTCTGATATGCTGTACTCATTTTTTTGGAACCCTATTTTTCTTGCTGTGTCTGTGCAAATCAGAAATGTTTTATTTACATCTATAGATTGTCTCAAAGTGACTAGTCTGTACAGGGTAAATGCACAACATCGATGCCATATTTCTTTGCAAACTTGTATTAAAATAAATGTCACTCCTTACTACTAGCCTAATCCATCTTTTGTGTTGAGGGTAGCTTAAGTACTAATGCCCACTAACAACCCTGCCTGGCTTCCTTCTGGGAGTGGTTCTCAAACATAAATAATATTTGCTACAACATACTTGGGTTAAATTAAAATAAAATAGAAATTAAGAAATGCTTTTTATTTATGTCACATAAGCAGTTTGTTTTTAATTCTACAGTATGTGCTAGCGATACAAACCATTTGTTTATAGATTTAAATAAAATCGAATAAAATAAAACTAAAATATAAAGAAACATTTTATTTATGTACTGTTCCGTTCAAAAGTTAAGGGGGGAAAGACTTTTAAAAACCATACTTTATATGTTGGCAGTAACAAAACGTAGAAATATCTGAAAATAAAACTAGTTTGAAATTGTTCATTGTATTTAATTTCGTGTGTAAGTAATCGTAATTGTACACCATTATATATAGTTCCCTTTCTGTCAATCGCTGTCACATTTAGTTTCTGCTTAACATCATCATCATTATTATCATCACTGTCATCACTATCTCCATTATTTATATTTATAATAATTGGTTCGATATCATCCAACAAATTGTCAATTTCCCACATTTTTTTTCTGTTGGTATTACATGGTTTACATAGTTTTCCCATTTCTTTGGCGTAATTATTATAAATATTCGTGGTATGCTGCTGTAATTAAATTTCGCTTTTCAGCTTCTTTAAAATTCACTTTGCATCAAGCTATATACTGTTTCACTTCACTCCACACCATTTCGATGGGATTCAGTTTACAGTGATAGGGTGGGAGCTATGGAATCTTCACATTGTGCTTTTTGGCAATATCTTCTATTATGTGCCTGTCATATTTTGCTTTGAAGGCCTTGACTACATTAAGTAACTCACATTTTAGGTAGTTGTCACAAGAATTACCAACCTTTCGCTTCTTGGGCCTGCTCTTTGGAGATTGTAATCCAGCAGGTGATGAATATTCCTGTCATATGCGAAATAGAGTCTTTTTCGCACAAAGACCAATTTCCTCCATTTTGCAGTAAAAATTCGGCGTCAAATATAACAATAGCCAACAACAGAAAATAACAATAATTGCCAACAGCAAATCACAACAACAGCCACCAACAAATAATAACAAAACAGTAACAGTACATCCAAGATTAAGGCCCTGGATGTATCAAGCTTTTAAACATATTCTATACAAGAATTACTCTAATTGCTTCTTAATTACTGAATAACTTAGAAGAAAGTATTTGAAAAACTTTGAAACAAATGTTTATTTAATGCACATTTTATTATACTACTGCTACTAATAAAAGATAAAAGTTGATAAGTTACTATTAGAATCAAATAATGTATAGTATTATGTAAAATTATTAGCAAATAATATTGTAAATTACATAAAAATTGTATGTGAGAACTTGTTGAGAACACCTGGTTTATTCCGTTTATTTTGAAAGATAGACAATAGAGAACGCCATCGCTCACTGCATAAAACTGGCAACATCTTAGCGAAATTCCCATAAGGGTAGCATTGCATGTCTTACCCTGTATAGACTAGTCACTTTGAGACAAAGTATAGTATAGCATCTGATCCAAGTTATTCAATCTTACTAGTTCATTTAGTATCAACATTGATTATTTTGATACTTCACTTGGAAACAAATGGATATTCAACTCTTCATGGCTTTGTTTTGCCAATTGCTACCTGAAGTATATTGTCTTTGTATGTTACATATTTCTCCATGTGCTGTTTTATGCTCCTATTTTGGTCCAGAAGATACATTTGTACAAAATATAAGCAACAAAGTAAACAGCTAAGGCAGTGCATTTACTTTGATAGTTTAAAAAATATATTAATGGTTCTAAATATATAAATTCAGGAAGCCTGAAAATATTGATGAAAATTAAGCAAGCATTATGCAGTAAAAGACCTAAGTAGGATTAAAAGTAGGGCTTATAAGATGTGTAAAATGCTTATTAAGTGTTAGACAGAGTGGCAGTCATAGCTCAAAAACTAGGAATTGGTCAGGCAGCCTGGGTTCAATTTATTTTTTCAATTTCTAATTTAATTGCGCTGCTATTGTGCTTTAGGGGCATGTAAAGCCATTGGTCCCTGCTACGTAAGTAGTCTTTAACACTGAAACCTGAGCTAGGTTACACAAATGGAAGATGTACAATATGCCAATTGACTGCATTATGTTATAACAACAAATAGCTTCCAAAAAAGAAGGACCAGATAGGGAATTCCTGAAATTGTGTCATTGTCTATATGTATGTGCTATAATTCTTGAAATAAAAGTCGTGGCATCTTGAAATTTGGTACAAAGATTACTCTTAGTCCAAGACAAGACCCTTATTTGGCATTAAGAGGCAAAAGATCACAAAAATTATAGATAACTCCTGATAGATAGCACATAGTCTGGAAAATTAGTATATTGTTCTTTTAGAAGATAAGTATACAGTATGTCTGTCAAGTCCTTCTGTACATCCTTCTATAAGTTTACTGGTAATATTTAATGGTAGTAGTATGGAATCATCCACAGCAAATAACCACATTGAAAAGGTCGAAATAGACATTTGCATTCTCCATTTATCGGAATAATGTGTAATAAGAAATAAGTTTGTAATGGTTGTTGAAAAATGAAAATTTTAGTTCATTACAGATAATTTTACTACTACAATCTTAAGAATAAAGAATTTTTATGCAAAACATATAAGAGTTTAGATAGCATAATTAAATTGTATGATGCAATATATTACATCTTAAGTGTGCTTCTTTAATTAGTTCACTACAGACAGAAGTAAATATGATGGTTGGAAAAGTATATATATGTCAGAAAATATAATTCTTATCCATCTAATAGAAGTATATTTGAGAGTTTTAAATTTGTTATCATTGGAACAGAGACAGAAAATGCCGGTGGCTCTGTATATATTATTGTAAATTCATTAAAAAGAAGATATCCCATTTATTAACCATATCAATTTTTTGGTAACTAAGGTTTACCTGAAGCTCCATTGTAGAGGGCTGTTTTGGACTTAGCTGTGTAGACTTCTATCCCATACACAATATGATAAAGCAATGTAATTTACTTGTAAGAAACAATGGTAGAGATATTTTTATCACCAATATAGATATGTCTAGGTTACCACCTTCTTCTACTTCTATATTTTAAAATGTTTTCTTTTTCTATTTAGATGTAGGCTCCTTCTTTTATTCCTTAACTCTTTCGGTGTGGAAGCTGCAATATGGCATTTTATTTCTGTCTGTGTGAATGGCACCATTTGGCATATTGCATATGCTATCAAACATTTATTCTGTATAGGAGAATGTTCTCAAATAAAAGTCCACTTAAGTTCCAATTATACTTTATTCTGTAAAATTTGAAATAAAAAATTATGGGCCAGTTAGTATACTTAATTAATGATACACCAAAAGTATTTAATAATATAGGTAATAACTGATTGTATAATTATTTTCCAGAGTTGCCTTATTGTTGAACAATAGTTAGGAGTTATAGAACTGTGCTGAATCTTATTTACTACTGTTGACTTTCTGGTAGAAACCTTAGACATTGGTGATGGGGTACACTCTATTTACATTGACTTTTCCAAAGCCTTCGACAGGTTTAATTCCATCTCTTATTGGTCCAACTTGAATAGTTGGTCCTACTAGAATAGTAAATAATGGCTCTGAGTTTCTGAGTTGTTTACAGGTTGTGTTCTTTGTTCCATTACTTGTATACAATAAAACAAAGCCTATACAAATCACTTTGAATGCAGATATTTTTAGTACAATACTTTCATTTGATTTTTAATTCATGTCCCATTTTTACTCATAAGATTAAATTTAAATCTTTACCTGAT